TTTAGGAGAAAAAAAAATGATGGTCAGATGACACGCCATAGGCGACAACGCCTCCCCGGTGCCGGCGCTGCCAGGCCTGAGGGCTTCTTCCATCCTCAAGGGGATCGCAGACCTTCTCTCCTTCCACACACACGACTTCCGTGATCTTAAAGCCGCCACATCCGCCCTCCTTTCCTCCTGGGACACCAGTTACACCTCCCAGGCCCTCTCAGCACACCCCTCTGTCCCTGCGGCCTCCGTCTGCCCTCGTCTGTGCTGTATCCAGGCTCCTGGACCCGCGACGGGTTTGGTCCTCACCTGTCATTCAGAGCACTAATCTCTTCGCAACCATGTGTGCTGTTTGAAACCCAGAGTCCTTCTTTCTGGTCGCGGCAGGTCTCGGTTCTGGAAGGTCCACCTGGTCCTATCACGATTCGCCACGTCACCTTTCACACCAGACGTCTCCTGCTCACAAGCTAAAGCAAGCCTTTTCTTTAAAAGTGGCAGACTGACTTCGGTACTGTGATCTGAAATCTGGTCTCAGACTCCCGGTCGGGCTGCCTCTGCCTCTTGCTCGTGCCGTCCCGACGAGTGCGGTCACTACGACTGTATGCCGGGCATGCTGTGTGAGAAGTTGGGTCTAGGATTCACGTGCGCCCCTCCTGCAGGAGTCGTCTCCTCACCGAAGCCGGTGTGAAGTCTGAGGTTCTGTGGGGCACTCGGGGGCCCAAAGCCCCGCTGCACATCCATGACAGTCCGCCCCTGCCCTGAGGGCCTTGCCTCTGAGAGTCTCAGTGTAACGTGGCAGGCTCTCCCCTTCTGGTGGGTTCCAGGCTTTGATCCTCTCCTGGAGCAGGGCTGCCCACCCCCGCACGCTGCATCTGTCCTGTGCATGGTAGGACAGCCAGGAGCCTCCCTGACCTCTGCGCGCTAGACGGCAGCAGCGCACCGGCTCCCGGTGGTGACAGCAGCCCCCAGGTGTGGCTGTGTCCCCAGGAAGGCAAAAGCACGCTGACAGGCAGCACTGCTCTCGACTCTCACGGAGACCAAAATGTCTGCCTCGCGGCTCGCTCTTCGGGGTTAGCAGCTGCTTGCAAGGCACAAACAGCTCAGGGCTGTCCTCACTTCTGTGGACACGACCTCTTCCTAGAGCAGCCTCAGGAAGCCCCCTTTCTTCTTGTCACTCTGCTAGACTTTCCAAGTTCTGTGTACGATTGTATCTTTCTGTTTTCCACAGAAGGCATGGCTGATGTCTGCACGGTCCAGCGAGGGGGCTTCCGGCCACACGCAGCTGCTGAGCCCAAAGCGTGGCCAGTCTGACCCGAGTGTGCTCTGAGCGCACAACCAGAGTCCAAAGACTCGCAGGGAAAACATGTAGGATGCCTCTTTATAGGAAGAGAGACCTTTTCCGTTGACCACGCACTGCAACAACGTGTAGGCATACTAAACTGAGTAAATTAAAAGTAGGTTTCTTTAAGTTTTGTTTTTTTGCTGTTTAGTAATGTCTGCACCCAGCGTGGGGCACAAACTCACAGCCCCAAGTCAAGCATCACGTGCTCTTCTGACCGAGCCAGCCAGGTGCCCCCAGAATTAGTTTCATCTGCTTCTCTTTTTTAAATGTGGCTACGAGAAAACTGAGACGCACGTGCAGGTCTCCGTTAGTGACTAGCACTCCGTTTCTCCCAGACGGCACAGACCTGACTTTGCTCATCCGCCCTAACAGCAGCAGACGCCCCGGGGTGCGCGCTCCTGAAGACCAAGGTCGGTCTTCTCGCCTCTGTCACTGGTCAGGAACACACGTGCAGTAATGCCAGCTGCTTCACAGAGGAGAGGGGAGCTCTTTCCCATATAGGACAGCTCAGCTCAGGCAGCCACGAAGACAGAAGAAACAACAGAAGCCTTGTTTGCCCCCAAAACGTTTACACAAAGAACCCGAAGGCTTACCACCCGAAGGGGCATGAACTCTTTCTCAGTGACAACACGATTAACGCATATTAGGCATTCACTTTCTAGGAAGCAATTTTTACGTATCTCCAAACGTAGATGTAGCCTGTGCAGCAGACGCGGACCCTCCCTTCAGTTAAGGACCGGAGCTGCTGAGTGTGGTGAGTGGGCAGGGTCGGTCCTATCCGGGGCTGCCTTCCCCGGCTTCGAGCCACAGCTGAGTAAGGGGATGCGACAAGGGCCCAGCCATTCCCACCCAATGCAGACGCCTCCAACAGGCAATCTGTTAGACACCACAAAGCTCCCTGACAGGCCAGCGTCTCCACAGGGTTCCTCCTCGGCCTGCCTGCAGCCCTCTCCCTCCCTTCACTTCTCACGGGCACTCCTCTCTCATAAATCCTGTGTCCTCCAAGCCCACCTCAGCGCCCGCTTCACAGAGAACCGGCCCGCGAAGATCACCAACACCACACGTTGCAGCTGAGCAGACACAGGGAACATGATGCGACAAGCATCGGAGCAGGGAGACATCTGCAGGAGGGCAGAGCGCCCTCACTCCGGACCGCCAGGTGCCGGCCCTTGGAGAGACAATGAAAGCCACAAGCCCTCACCCGAGAAGACCCACAGACAGCAAACGAGCGCACAACACATGCCATCAGGGGAACGCACATTAAAACGAAAGCGAGACCCCCTCCTCCCAATAAATAAATAAATAAATCCTCAAACCAGTCGTGCGCTCCCTGTGCGCACCTGCTGGAACGGCCCAAAGCCAGCCCACGGGCGGCACCAGAGACCGGCTCATCGGTGTGGCTGGTGGGACGCACGGTGGGGCGGCCAGTCTGGGAGACAGTGTGACGGCTTCTCACCCAACAACACACACTGTCACCGTCGCAATGAGGAGAAAAGACGTGGGGTGCAGAAATTCCATACGGAAGTTTGAGTTCACCCCCTGGGAGGATGGCCAGCGCTCCAGAGACGCCGTCCACCTGCCCCTTCTGCAAGCCCGTAAGTCTTGTGCCGTAAAAACGGACCGTGCCTGCAACACCGGAGTCACCTCTCGCAATGTGTGCCCAGAGGAATTCCAGACGCCTATCGCGGATCTGTCGGGGCCAGCGGGCACGTACGTGACTGCATAGATGCCTGCGAGGCTGCCGGCTGACAGCAACGCAGAGGACCCACAGCCCTGGCAGCGCCGTCTGCCGTGGACCCGTCCCGCCGGCTGCTGGTCCAGAGACATTCCAGGGTCCAGGCTGTGGATGCAGACCTTCAGAGCCCCCCGTGTGTATGGAGTGGATGTGAGTGTGAGTGTGTACAGCCACAAGCGTGGCCGTGGCAGTGTGCTTGTGGGCACAGACTGGAGGAGGGGTGCGCTGCTGGGTCCCCCAGGGCCCTGAAGAGCTTCACTAGCTATGAAAGCCATGAACATGCTCGCTTCTCCTCAGAGCCAGTGTCCCAACACTCTGGGCAAGGGCAAGGCCAGCCCAGGCTGCCTCCAGCCTCCGTGCCTGCCGCACCAGCACTTGCCCGTCGGACCTGGACTGCCCTCCCTCCTTCCCTGCCTTCCAAGGCCTGAGATTCCGAGCCATGTCCTATAGCCAGAACCACCCCTTTGCAAGTTCAGTTGCTTTTGTAGCAGAGGAGGGCCAGGTCGGGGAGAGCTGTCAGCCATAAGCCCTGAAATAAAGCAGTCGATGCAAAAAAAAAAAAAAAAAAAAAGGAAAAGAAAACAATACTTTCCCTAGCACTCAACAGAGAAACACCCAAATTCCACTAGTTTTTGCATCACTTGATAACACAGGATATCCATTCTCAAGTCCTGAAAAGCCATCCATTCCTAGAAATTCTGCCTGCCACCCACCCCTACAGCTCTTGGACTCCGTCCTAGCCCTCTCCTCCACTAGCTAATTCTGGGCAGCCTCAGCCACTCTCGGGCTGCGCGGACACTTGAACCAGATCTCAAACCCAGAAAAAGTAAAGGCTTCAAACTAAGGGTCTCCAGTCAAGACTAAAATCCTACGCCTGACAGTTCTTCAAAATGGGGGTCTTTTCTCAGGGAAAGTGGCGGTCTACCGAGAGGGTTAGGTCACGTCCACTCCTCATCCACAAAGCCAAACGGGCTTCCTTAGGGAGCTGCTAATTACCTGCACCGAGACCCACAAGCAGCCTCCGGCGGTGCCTCTCTTTGAGACCTCCACCTTGAACCGGGTCAGGGACAAGGCTGGGTCCAGCGAGGGGCCACCCGACCTGGTTACTTCTACATGAGCTGTCAATGGCAAGAGCAACCAATGGCTTGACTTCAAACACATCTTACTTCTGGGGCACTGGGTGGCCCAGTCAGCTGACCGTCTGACCCTTTGATTTCACTCAGGTCCTCATCTCAGGGTTGCACGACCCAGCATCGGGCTCCGCGCTCAGCAGGGAATCTGCATGAGATTCTCTCCCTCTCCCTCTGCCCCTCACACTCACTCACTCGCTCACTCTTTCTGTCTCATAAATAAAAAAATAAAATCTTTTAAGCAGATTTCATTTTTTTAAAAAGATTTTATTTATTTATTTGACAGAGAAAGACACAGAGAGAGACGGAACACAAGCAGGGGGAGTGGGAGAGGGAGGTGCAGGCTTCCCACAAAGCAGGGAGCCCAATGCAGGGCTCAATCCCAGGAGCCTGGGATCATGACCTGAGTCGAAGGCAGATGCTTAATGACTGAGCCACCCAGGCGCCCCAAACACATTTTAACTGTAACAGAGCCATGAGAGTAATCGTGCTCAGAACTTTGGTTTGAAAGAATTAAAATGGCATCAGAAGGCTACTCCCTGCTATATTAAATTTATAAAAGCCCATTTTGGGGGTGCCTCGGTGGCTCAGTGGCTTAAGGCCTCTGCCTTTGGCTCAGGTCATGATCTCAGGGCCCTGGGATCGAGCCCCATATCAGGCTCTCTGCTCAGCAGGAAACCTGCTTCCCCCTCTCTCTCTGCCTGCCTCTCTGCCTACTTGTGATCTCCATCTGTCAAATAAGTAAATAAAATCTTTAAAAAAAAAAAAAAAAGTCCATTTCATGAAAAAGATTGAACATACTTACCTTTAAATTTTGATCTAATGTTTGCCAGTTCCTTGTTTATTCTCTTTATTTCTGCTTCTTTACTTTTACCTAAAAAAAGAGAACACAAATACATTTTTACTTTAACTGATTTCTACGCAAACATCTGTCCCGACAAGACCAACACGTCAGAATCAAAGGCAGAACCAAGTGCTTCTAGGAGGCAAGGAAAGAAGCAATCTCCCAGCGCCGAAACCAGCAGGGAAGTGGTTGGGACAGAAGCTGGGGCCTCACACAGGGCCCCCGGGTGAAAACAGGGCAAGTCCGTAAAAGCACCACACAGGAAAGCAGCCACAACAGGACAGGAGGGCTCTACAGCGCCATTTTCAATCCTGCCTTTTGCCACAGTTCTGGAACCGACAGCACTCAAAACACCTGCTAAACACTTTCCACAGTGAGTCATTATCAGCTAAAAGTTTATTCCTAAAACTGACTGCTACTGCCACGGGCAATTTTTAAAAGTATGAAGTTTTAACTGTACTATGCTTCTAATTTTCTCTATGAAATGCACTGACCTACGAAGTCTGGTAAATCCACTTCTACCATCTGGGAGGAAATCTGGGAAGTTTTCTGCACTACGCGTAAAGGAGATGGAGGGCGCGTCACACGCCTGACAGCCCGGGACGCCGCGCCGGACCCAACCCCACGACATCTGTGCACATGGAGCGTGTCAGAGGAAGAACGGCCATCAGACCATACTCAGGTTTACTCCACCTTGGCCAAGTGTGGAAAGGGAGGCCTAGAGAGCATGGGAGACCTTCTAAGGGCGACACAGTTTGACAAGTACTGTAAAAATATAAGAAACGATTCCTCCCACGGGACACGGTGAGTTGTAGACGAGGGCACGTCTCCGTAAACCCCCGACTACATGAGAGCAGGAACGAGGTTCACGATGGAGCACCATCTCCGGGCTAGTCCTTGCACCAGGACCGCATTCGCAGGGGGAACAAAGGCCTCCAGAGCAGCCTCCCCACCCAGCACCGCCAGCCCCATGTGCTCTACAGCTGTCCTGACACAGGGCGCAACCGTGTCCTCCTCCAGAAATGCTCTCCACATGCTCAGCCCTCCTTTGCCTCCCCTCATGGAACTTATGTCACCTCCTCCAGCAAAGCAACCTCCTCCTGTCCGGGACACTCCAAGAACGTCATTCTTCTTTTACTACCAAGTCGCTAAAACACAGCGCCCTCGAAAGCCCCGGCAGAACAGCTGGTCAGGACAGGGCCATGCGGCCACTCACGCACCAGGCGCATCTGAGTGCCAGGACGTAGGTTAAAATGACACTTCCTGCTTGGGGAGTCACTGCTCCAGTGGGAGGGCAGGAGACCTTTAACAGAACAAGCACGGCGGCCGCTCTGGGGAGCAAGGGGTGCAGGCAGACTGGGAGGGGGCATCCAGGCACCGGCAGGGGCCCTGATGTCACACAGGCCAGAGCCGGTCGCGGGAGTAACAGAAGGAGCAGCCAAAGGCTCCCTGAAGGGTCGGGGAAGGGACGGGGGAACAGGTGAGAGCAGTGGGCTTTAATGGCCCAGGGTGGCAGGTCAAGGGCCAACGGTTTCTTTTTTTCTTTTTTTAAGATTTTATTTATTGATTTGACAGATCACAAGTAGACAGAGAGGCAGGCGGGGCGGGGGCGGGGGAGCAGGATCCCCACTGAGCAGAGACCAATGTGGGGCTCGATCCCAGGACCCTGAGATCATGACCTGAGCCGAAGGCAGAGGTTTTAACCCACTGAGCCACCCAGGCGCCCCGGGCCAACTGTTTCTTAAACCATCCTTCAACAGGGTTATCTTTGCCAAACTAGGCTTTCCGGACCTGGCGCAAATGGCCACGCACACGGTATCCCGGCCGCCCCCTGCTGACGACAGGCAGCTTCACCCACGGCAAACCGCTGTGCAGGCATGTGCAGCTGAGCGTGCCCGTGTGCGAGCACGGATGTGTGTCTGGGTGTGAGCGTGCGCCCGCGAGTGCGCACCCGTGACCCCTCGTGCACGCGTGCTTCTCACCCGGCGCACAGGGATCCGCTCCCGCCCGGCCGCACCTACGTGGCCCTACAGGGCCGAGAGCCCGAGGGGCAGGAACCTGTCCTGTGCAGCTGAAGGGGTCGGTCCGGAGTGGAGCTCAGGAAAACCCTGGGCGGCGGTGGGGAAGAAGTGACGCTAAATGAGCGGGACCTGCTTTCGTAGGAGCCGCAGGTATTAGCCGGGACTCGAAAAGCGTTAAATAAAACTAGAAGCACATGAAGCAAGAGGAGTTACCACCAGGACAGACGGAAAAACACGAGTGAGTCGGGCGCCGGCTGCAGAACAGGACTGAGGGGGCGGCGGTGGCGGCCTTGCACCCAGAGCTTCCTCGCGGCGGACGCTTCACAGCAAACACACGACCACGCGCTTCTGTCCCGCCACGGCCAGCGAGGCGTCCCTGGACAGGGGCACGGGCACAGGCGCGCGAGGCCCGACTCGCTGCTCGGGGCGGCTGCAGTCACCCACCAGCGCCCTCCTTCCCCGGGAAAACCCCCGAGGCCGCAGGACTCCATGCAGCTCATCGGCCAAGGTCGGAGAGAGGAGAGGGGCCGGCCCGCGGGACCGGAGGGAGGGAGGCCCGAAGCGGACCGGCGTGAGCTCAGAAGGCTGTGCGTGGGGCCCAGGGAGCTGCAGCCGCCGCCCGCCGCGCGGACCGGGGCCTGCTCTGAGTCCCGCTGAGCAGCAGACGAGCGGCGGGTCGGGGAAGGCCCAGGGAAGCAGGGCAGGGCCGGGAACCTGCGGAAGCGGTCACTGAGGCAGCAGCTGGGCAGCGCTGCGCGGAAAAGCCCCCCCGACCCTGGCCTCCACCATCCGCTCAGAGAACTGCCCTCACACAGGCATCAGCCACAGCGAGTACCGGGCTCACCTCCCACAGGAGCAGACGTCAGAACAGAGGCCGCGGGAGCAGAACAGCAGCCCCAGGAACAGGGAAAGCGCCTCGGGAAGCAAGCAACAGCAGAGCCCTCTCCTTCAAAGCATGCGGAGAGACCCGAAGAAAACACAGTCCACTAGAAACATTCAGATATCGGGTAACAGAAGTCAAGTAAATCAGAAATTTAAAAAACCATTCCAGAAACGAAGACTAACCCAGAAGGAATAGGAGAACAGATGAACGGAGGTCTTGGCAGGAGAAGACACAAGGAACGTTACCGACACCACGCAGAAACGAAGGACGCGATCAAGGACTCGAGAAAAAAGTCATGAACGCAGAAGTGGAGCGAGACACGCCCTGGGGCCAGCAGGAGCCCCAAAGGAAAAGGCGAGCGCGGCAGCAGGACAGACTACAGCCGCCACCCAGAGGCCTTCCTGAAACCTCCACACCTGCAGCTGGGAGTCCTGACCCCAAACACCACAACCGACACCTACTGCGATGACAGCGCCCGACCGCAAAGGGAAAATCCTCTGAACACACAAGAAGCGCAAGCAGCTCACGCGAGAAGGAAAACCGAAGACACTCGAAGACGCTCGGAGTCCGGCCTCGCCCCGCCACAGAAGCAAAGGACGCGACGGCCGAGCCCTGTGAAAGGAGACGTGCGACCGGGACTCTCCATCCAGCACAGCCAGCCCCCAGCGCGCCCGGCGCCAACCTGACCGAGAGCGAGGGTCCAGAGCACATGGGCGTGCCGCAGGCCCCGGGGACACTCCACGGCAGCGAGCGGGCACCGAGGGGGCACCGAGGCAGCACCAAGGCTTCCGGCGACAGCGAAGGAGCCGCACGGAGGTGCGGGGAGGGGAAAGCACGCAGGCGGCAGCACAAACGCGAAGCACTGCCGTGGCCAGGTGGGGCAGGAGCGGTGCCGGGTCAGGTGTCCCCTGTCACCACACTGACGGTGGCGGGCTCAGAGCCTGTCGTGGTGCAACAGGATGAAGGTCACGAGTGATCAGGATGTAGCCTACCCAGGCACCCCCAGCGTCCTCGAGATCCTGGGGCGGACGAGCTTCAGGAGAAAAGCCCAGCTGTCCTGACCTGAGCTGGAGCCCACAAGGGCCTCATGAGGCATTTTCCCCTCGAGATGAGCACGTGTGTCCCCTCCAGCTGTCCTCGGAGGAGGCTCAGAACAAGACAATGTTGGGTGGCCGTGCGCACCCCCACCTCCAGGCTGTGCTCCGGGAGCACCATGTCACACTACAGGAAGCCAGGCTTCCCGGCAGAAGTGCCGAACCCACGACTGGGCGAGGCCCACGGTAAGCCTGGACTGGACAAGGACTATCGAGGAGCACACACCACCAGGGCCACGTCGGGAACACTCGGCACCCAACGGAGAGACGCCATTAGCCAAAGGGGGGACAGCCCGAGCTTCAGAAAGGATAAAAAGTGCAGTGGCCAAAATTCACCAAAACATTTAAATCCATGAGTTCAAAATTTTATTTAAAAAAAAAAAGCACCTCATTAGTTGAGGATATTAGGGAACCAATTAACTTGGAAACTAGGCACTGGAAGGAAAGAGCCAAGCAGCTGTCGTGCCTCTTCCACATGAAGCGCACCGGGGCAGCCGCTCAGGAAGGGAAGGGGCTCTCGGTCCGAGCATCCCAACACACCCATGGAAGGGATGAGACGACCACCATCTGGTGCCCTCCCGAAGGACTGCCTGGGACCGAGCAGGGAGGCGCACAGCGGCTAGGTCACAGGCGTCAGCAGACAGCACGAGCCCCCGGAACAGCAGGGCAGCACCTCGAGTCTGGCCACGGTGTCAGCTACATGTGATCTGGCCTCCGTCCCCAGCTGCCAGACGGCCAAGAGCACGGGGGACCCCACTAGGGGTTCCCAACGTAATGCCCCTTACACATCCCGGGTCTTCAACAGACCGCTGTGAGGAAAAGGAAGGAGCGCAGACTGAAATATGAAAGAACAGGAAATGTTTAGAAACGGGTAAGACCGAAGCCCGGCGTTCAGGAGGCCCCCGTGGGAGACCCGTAAAGGGTGCCAAGGCACCCAACAATGGCAGTAGGTTTGGGGGAGGTGAATGGGAAAGGGCACATGGAAGGGCCTCTGGGGCCATCACCCCGGTGGAAGTGACAAGTGTGTTCACC